AAAAATCAATAAATTATAAGAAATTATTAGGTCAATTATTGACAGAATGGAGAAATAACAAGAACAATGGAAGATTGAAACAATAACTTATTTTTACTCTCGTTTGAATGTTATGTGTATAGACAATAGATTGTAGAACGATTACAATGGTTCTACCAATTATCGAGAATAAATGTCTTCCTTTTTTCATTCGTTCATATACATTAAATTTCAATGATTGATAATATATCTAGAATTGTTATCCAAATTACACTAGACTACTGGCGTATAATATGACATTTTGATTGTAACAAGATTGAAAGGCATTGTTACTAAGTCATTTGAAAGTGCATGTGACCTAAACCACCCAATTGCTTTTTACAAGTACATTGTCCACTTCGTACTGGAATAAAATATCCGATTTATATGCAATCAACATACACCGCCAAATATACCTAGAAGGTGGATGACTCATACAACAGGGTATTTGGGTGTTTTTTGGTCACATCAAACTCTATGAAACTATGTTAAACAAGATGTATTATCTTAGAACCTAAGGTTTCTACAATTGTAAGAGACGCGGTTTCACCTCTGGCATCTCTTACGACTTCAAGACTTAGAAATTCTGCTCCCGATATCTAGCCCAGATATTGGGTAGAAAAGATGAAAATGTAGTCGCTTAACTTTCAATAGCTAACATCATACTATAGGATCTTAAAGAGTTATTTACTCAAATCATTCATTTCGCAACGATGATTTTTCCCACAGAAACGTAAACTATTCTGAGAAAAAACCATAAAATATATTGATTAATAGAAGACGAGAGATTTGGGAAGAAAAACTAGTGAAATGATCAGACAGACGTATCGAAGGCTCTATAAGATTTTGTTTGGTCAGTAAGGATAGACTAAAATCATTAAGTTGATGGTTTTAATTATAATTTCCTATTGATTTCTCTAACTATTACAGACGATGAAGGCAAGATGATAATATTCGATTTAGAAAGATGCGTGTTTCACAACATTAACATTTATGATATGACCAAAAACAATAGTTTATAGCTTTAAACACTGAGACAACTCAATAATACAAGTCATATAATCTGTATAGAGTATTAGAGATTGTAGGAAAAATACAAATCATTTTTAGTATGTCACTGCGAACCAACTCTCAATATAATCTTATTAAGTACACAGACTCTTCGAAGGTGCCAAAAAGATGTTCAGAGTGACATTAATTGTTTCACAGGGATGCCGTGTCACTACAGAAAACATTATGTTGGGAACCCCAGACAGTGTCACTGAACTGTTACAAACAGGTTGGATCGATCAGTCTTTTGTTAAATAGAGTAATTCAAATGCACCAACATCCAAACAGTGACTTACGAAACATTCATCCATCGAAACTCTTTGAACATTTGGTAAGCATCCCAACAACTTGTCAATGTAAACTTTGTCATGTGACCACAATTTGACTGTTTGACGTTAACATAAACGAACTACATAGATACTACGTCACCAATAATAATCCTTAACTGAGCCACCGGAGAATAAACAGATTTAAAATACAATCAAGGAATCGAATTGTTTTGCCACCAGATAAAATGATTTCGGTACAATATTGAGCGGATTTGAGAAAAATATTTTTAGTTCTTCTAATCTTTATCCTTGGTAAGCTCGGTTTATTTGGAAAATATTCAGTGTTTTATATGGATGCGGTGAGGTAGAAAACACAGGCTTTAATAATTAAAGTGTGTGCTCCCTCTAAGCTTTTTCTAAAAAAATCACGACCAAAAACAAATTGATATTGCTGAACCAAAAATAGTTGCATAATGACCTTTTGTTTTGTTTTGTTTTCTATTCAATTTTTAGTCGTAGTTTTAAGATACTATACATGTTATATATAGCAGTATTACTATAAACAGAATAATATTAGACATGAGTCAAAAATACGTAGAAAGCTTATTGTTGTTTATACCTATATTATAGTAATATTGTGTTCATGGTATAAATGGTCAATCAAGATAATATTAATAAAGGCATTATTTCTGAATTACCGTATTGAAAAAAGCCATTATAAGTTTTACTCAGAATTTCTTTATATTTATTGATCATTTTTATGAACCATGAAATATATAGTTGAAAATCCAGTCGCTCTACCACTTTGTCCATTACCAAAAGTGTATGCAGGGAAAATTTTGTTCTTTAGAGTTTATTAAAAGAAATCTGATATTTTTTTTATATATAAAAACAATACTACGCCCAGATAAATCCAACGTGGAAAGAATGAAAGTAAGGGAGTATCATAGAAAAATATTAGAGTTTATATGGTGTGGAATATAAGAAAGGATAAGAATGGAAAGATTGTAAGTTTTAATCACAGCCTACAGTCAGATGTAATCTATTGATAAGGAATAAATTGGCTACTAATATTCATGGAAGGAAAGCCTCTAATCACATTTATTCCACACTAAAACCTGTTTGTATTGAAAAACCTTGGAATCGTGTTGGTTAATATATATACAAAATTTTCTATTGTACTACTACAACGCTAAATCTCCACTTTCTTGGCTAAGCTGCGTTTTTCGTCTTACAAATGTTGGGAATAGAATTGATTATATGAGCTTCTCGTATTGTATTATAACACATATGTTTTCAAATATTTCCAAATGTCAGATTTGACTAGGTCAGATTGAGTGAAATAAGATCAAACGCCTGTTTTAGTTCGATATTATTACTATATAGTTGAATGTTGCTGTAGGAAAATTCTCAATATTAATAATATTTTTATTACTATACTAGTTATCTTAGATTAGAAATAAAATATTGACAGCAACCCATAAAACTTAACAGTGATTATAATGTCAAAGAATAGTTTGCATTCCTGTAAAATAGTGGCATGTTTCATATGAATATTGTATGTTAACTTCTATATGTAATCAACATTAGAACAATTAAACCAAATTAGTCCTATTAACTCTTGAAGTTTCTAAAAGTATTGGATTGGATTGGAGAAAAATTAAATTGAAAATCAATGCTTGTTAGTACCACTGTTAGTGATGTCACATCGCGTGCAAAGCAGATCATGCTTACTTTCTTCGTAGTACCAGATGGTGCTTTTCCTTGGAGGAGTCCACTCCGTTAAAAACTTGTCAATTTTGCCATGAAATTTTGATTATCGGAATTGCCTTGCTTGTTGGACTTTTATCAACAATTTTTAGCAAAGATGAATAATTCCTTCATTTTATGAAAGTTACAAAGAAGCCGAGTCTGCAATAAAGATGTAGAGTTGTCCTCCATTATGTCGCTTTATACTCTAGAATTTCAATTCCATATCTCAGCAGAAAAAAAATAAAATTATTGACTATCGTGTAACGAAATCTTATTTTTGAAATTGTCGAATATCGTAAACCCTTTTAGTTTTTAATTTAATATACAAGTTTGAATTTTATCAGGGAAATTCGCTGATATGATAGAAAATTACATTTGATGTAGCATCTATTTTCTAGACATTTATCATTTTCTTGCGAGATAAAATTATTAAAATTTACTACCGATAATATAATTGGATGATCGAATTTCTGCAGTTACATGAAGTTCAAAATGAAGAAAAGTGCCAGATCTGTCTGGAGTTGATAATAAAGATGGAATTCTTCTATCAGAAGAAATGTGAATCGAGTCAAACTTCTTGATATTTCTCTCAGTTACGTGGACATGATTTAATTATTTCCACTTATTTTACCCACTGTCAGTAGAATTTTAAACGATCGAAATCCTTCATTTTATTTTCTAAACTTTGTTAAAACACATCCCGGTGTCTATTACTTTATTAAAAAAAAGATGAGGTTTTTTCTACGAATCTCATTATATTATCAGAATAAACATTTGAATTTAAGTCAATATTAAGAAAACTTTTGTCATTTCTCAGTGCTACATAGCAAATAATAAATTTGGCACAAAATAAAACATTGTCATACAGGGTTCATTCATTCTTTCATCCATTTTCTCTCACTCATACCAGAACATATCTAAATTTACAAAAACATTAACAATATACTTTTTAATGGGGACATGATTTCTTAACAAATGATATAGTAACAGTCTTTAATAATATTTTTTAGTATTTTCTCAATAACAAAACCAAAGTTAATAAATTAATAAATAACAGCCTTATAGTATCACACGTCAAGGGAGGGGTGGGGCGACAACCCAAAAGCTCTTACATTGAATTGCACCGCTTAAAACTAATCAAATTAGTAATATTTCATCAAATTTACAACTGTTTGTCCTTTAAATCGCCCAATTGATCTTTTAACTTACTTGACTCTATATTATGCAGTAAACGTTGACTTGGTTTCATTGGTTAATATCCATAGTACCTAGTACCTTCTGGACCGGAAATACACGACACAGCTACTATCCCTTGGAGGCAGATGTTGCTCACCTAGTTTGAAGATATCCTTGATATCCTACGTCCATGATGGTCGGAGAACCAATGAAAATCAGCAGCATTAATTTGGTTTGTGGAAGAACCGACTGTTCAGCAGTCAACCTGTTCATATTTTACCCAGTTTTATATGATCACAGTTTGCAATCCAGGGATTTTTAAGTTTTATCACCATTTTTTTAAGTGAATTAAATCCCTAGATTTACTCGTGAAAACAATTATTCTGTTTATAGTACTGCGGTATCTGTATACTAACAGCATGACGTGATATTATAATATATCTTATTACCCTTTCTATTAACATATGGCGATAATATTCCTTTAATCACAGATTTCTTGACAAAAATAATCCTGATTCACAGTTTTCAACTACCTCATGTGGTTCACAATTTTCATTTCGTTTACTGTAATGTAACAATTTGACGAGACTAACCGTCCTCAACTATCTGATTAACAATTGTTGATTAAAGAGTAGAATGGGCTATCACAATTAATTAGGTGTATGAGACATGTTGCTTTCCATCGACCAACAATTGTTCATTGAGACATTACCGATTTAATTCCAACATGACACCTCATATTTTACTCTCCCTCTGTCCATTGGCCGAACCATTTCCTAAGGTAACCACAGTTTGACCATGGCTGTTGTACTGAACCACGGTTTCCGTTGGCGGTTTCAGACTGTCTTTATACGATGGGTCTTTTCCATATTGTTCAACATAACTTTCTGAGCGCATTCGAGTATTAATTCCTTTACATCTGAAACACAGAATTTCCTTAAAAGGTGTTCTAAAATCTCTATTAAAACGAGCATAAATTACAGGATTGAAGAAAGAATTTGAGTAACCTAACCACATTAAAGCACTTGTTAACCAGTCGGGGATGTGACAAAACTCACTATTGGCGCCACAGAAGGGTCTAACTAAAGCAAGAATAAAAAAGGGTAGCCAACACAGCGTGAACCCTCCCATGATTATACCCAATGTTTTTGTAGCCTTGCTTTCCATTGAATGGTTCATTCTCTGTGGTTTTGGCAGCAGAGATTTGATATTGAAATGTCGCCGTGAATTTTGTTTTTTTAACGGAATTTCATCTTCTTCGGTTGTGCCGGGTACAGATAAGGTTCCATTCGGTAACACGTGACTGTCACCACTGTCCTTAGATTGACGCCCAACTTGAAATTCAGCGCCTTTATCAAAGCTTCCAACTTTTGATCGATTTTCGGCTTTGGCAATTCTCGACGACACTCTCCAAATTTTAAAGTACACTACTATCATGACGGTTAGAGGCAAATAAAAGGCACCCAGCGTTGCATAAATTTGGTAGCCCAGATCTTGACTAATATAACACGTATAGGGCCCTCTTTCAGCCTTCCAACCGAACACTGGGGGAATTGATATCAAAGCAGAAGCTATCCACACTATAGCAATCATTATGCTCATACGTTTCGGAGTTCTTTTCATGGCATATTGGAAAGGTCTGGTAATAACAAAATATCTATCAACACTGATCATACACAAGTTTAAAATTGAAGCAGTACATAGCATAACATCGAGCGATGTCCAAACATCACACACAACATCACCCATTAACCAAGATGCCTTTATATCTAGCAACATAGCAAATGGCATCACAAGAAGCGCAACTAATAAATCAGCAACAGCCAACGAAACAATTAAAAAATTCGAGGGAGATTGTAACCTTTTAACAATACCGACAGCAATACACACTAAAGAATTTCCAACAACAGTAGCCACTATTAAACATCCTATTATAACTGCTATAACCACTTGAACCCATAAGGCATACGGTGATGGTGGTGGTAAATCCGGTTTCGGGGTTGTGGAATTGGTTCCAAATCCAGAGGTCACATTTCCGACCATATCCACAACCAGTTCCGTAACATTTTGACGCGAAATGTTGTCATAAACGAAACTAGAATCCCTCGCCGATTCCGCCATTCCACAAACTTTGTCAAATTATTACTGTAGACTTAAAATCGCATGACACAGTTTTGAGGAAATATCACATTACATTTTATTTACCCAGGAGCATTTCGTACCGACATTTATATTGCTCTCTGATCACCGAAGTAACTCGTAATACACACGGTGAGTTCCACAGACTATTCTGTCGAAGCACTTACTATCTTTCACATTCAAACAACGTTCGTCCTTTGATCGATCGAATGTGTTCAATAACTGAATATTGACAAGGCAGGCTATATTTTCACTACAGATCTATGGATGAGTGATTCTTACTTTGATTTTCGTTAATCGAGAAAGTTGACGATTGGCAATAATTTAACTACAGAAACACATATATTTCACTGGTATCACAGATTTCCTCCATCATTCTTCTAGATTCACGTGTTGTTATGTGGAATAAGTTGAATCATTATGATGGTTAGAACGCCTCAAAGTTATTGAGAGAACTAGCCAAGTTTTTTTTTACTTCTGTCGACTCGTCTTATAATATAACGGGTAACATACTAAGAGATCGCCGGTAAATAGCTCATATACATTTATTTCAGGTTCAACCAGAACGAATTTTGTCGTATGAAAAGACGCTTATGTTTTTCTTAATCCGTGTAAAACATATTATAGTAGCCATGTTCTGAGTAGGTAAATCTGAAATTTGGGATTATGTGTTATAATTATATATATTTATAAGGTTACTAATAATTCTCTCAAGTCACAAACAAAAACATTAATCAATAATTATATATAAGATTAGGTTTAGTAATTCACAAGGATTAGATTTAGCAGATTATCTAAGACCATATTCTTACAAGAGAAATAATTGGTGTGCAGGTCTAAACTCTACCATTGGCTAAATCACCATCAACTTGTGGTCCATCGAATATTTGCATCTGACCCTTACAGTAAATACCACCACCAAATAGCCTATATATGAATTTGCAATAGATTTCTTGACTGAGAAAAGTATATTTGAGTGCTAATTATTGTCCTCCGAAATCTTGACCGTCTACCATGTACTTAACAAATTTACAACTTCAAGCAAATATGGAAGACTACATCGCCTTCGAACACCTTTATATAACAAGATAACAAGGCATAATAAGATTTATATGTCTTAATGTCATTTGTAACTGTTAAATTCAAAGCAATGTCCAGGATAACATTAAAGTGTAAACTTAACAGATTTTCTAAAATATATGGATAGTGTTTTGCGAATGTGCCACATTTTTGTTCACTATGTCATGTAGGTATATTAAACCATGAGCAAAAATAATACAATCCATTGCAATAAGGTTTTAGATGATATGGTAATGTATTTGACCTGCTTTCAACAACCTAATAAGTTCAAGATAACGAAAAGATAGTAGAAATTTATTAACATGACGGAATATGTTATAATTGAATTAAAGATATCTGAAATTTACGTACCTATCAATCACTCGTTGTAGTAGGTTTAGTGATACCATTCAAAATTAAACTACTTTCTTAGCTGAAAAGACAAAATTAAAAAAATATTGATGTGATAAGTGAAGGTGTTAGTCATAAGGATAGAACAATACGTTGCGATAACTATTGTACATTAAAGGATGCTAGTAACTAAATTATGCACTTCTCAGTTGAATCTTTTAAAGATTATTTATCCATCCCACATTCGACTAACGTTAATTTGTTTTTAATAATAGTCCTGAGTTATTCTAGTCCAGACAAAATCATTCTAGCAACAAAAAATACAAAAAAAGGTAAATTTATTTTTTAGAAATTAATTCACGACTATGAAATCAATATATTTAATAAAAATATGAAATGAAATATTGTTACGTATGGCATATACAATTCAAATCAACATTATAAATAAGCTTTGTTGATATAATTTCCAATTTTGATTCGTAAAATATATTTCTGCAAGGGAAAGACCCAAGACTAAAAAGAGCCTTTATAGCTTTATTTTAGCTTCTACAGTATTGGTAGTCGTGCCATCACAGACAGGGAATCGAAATGATGTTATTGGTGTCATCCTCGATACTTATAGTGTATACATGTATATAGGGCTTAAAGCTTCTTGAAACCATCAGATACTATTGATTGTGATTTTTGATGGAGGATGTTGATACTGGTGGATAGAAGAGTCAGCCATTATAATTATATCAAGCCATAGTTACAATAAACTGAACGAGTGATTCATTTGGTGAAATTCAAATAAGGGATTTAAATCAGAAAGATGGTTATTTTTTTCTAATGAGTTTCTGTACAAGGGTACATTTAATTACTGAATGACGTTTTAGCAAAAGGAAATGTCAGAAGGGTATATATAAGACTAATCCTTACTATAAGGACCAAAGATCTCGACCTCTAAATGTTCCTGATTGCTACAAAACATGACCAAAGCTCATTTTCAATGATATTGGTCTCGTCTGAAACTCCAATGTAGGCGACTACCCGGACTTAAAGTAATTGAAGTGACATTTTGATCCCCTATTAGTATTTTAGAAAAACTATTTGAATTTTGTTTGATAACATTTGGATCTGACCAATAAGACTGAGAAGTAGAAATATATTTCGCATGTGACATTTATGTTGTGTAGTCGAAACTGGTAAATTATGTGAAATATGTTAATATATGATAACCGCTCAAAATTAATTGTGTAAAATTATCATAAAACCATTCTTTGTAGTGATCATTATAAAACGATAAAATATTTCATTTGTTTTTTATTTAACTGTTCTTGTAATTTGCTACTCTTCATGATGACTATTCAGTGCAATTTTTTTTAAATGTATTTATAGAAATCATGCGGAGATTCTTAACCATAAAACTGCATCATATTGAATGTTGTAGGATAGACGTTGAAATAAAAAATTCATCACAAATGATATTACAACAGCTAAAATACGAAGGCCCAAATCCTTTGGATACTCAAGTATACATAAGTGTTGGTTCCATGCGAGATCTGCTTGTGGTCCGCGCTAGTGCGTAGCACAAGATTCTAATACGTCTTATCATTGCTCGTCTTCTGAAGCCTAGTAAGAGTAGAATATACTTTATCACACTTTTATTTGGTTTCAGTTGACATAGATCTATGTTAGTTCAATACGATAATTTGATTTAAAACTATTAATTTAAACAATTTAAAGCTTAAATATAATTGTCTTTGGCATTTTCCTTTGAAGTTATAAACATTTTTTTTTTCAATTTTGTCAAGGTTTTTATTTTTCCCTTTACTTAGTTCATCTATTGATTTAGCCAAAATTAAAACCATAAACCATAATATTACATAAACTCATTTCATTTTTTCGTTTTTAATTAAGAACCATGTCTTTCAAATCAATGTCAATATGATCTTTGCTTGATTAAAAACTACCTCAACTTTATCATTTCCCCTTACAAATTCCAGTGAACATCATTCATATGTAACTGTAACTTTTGATTTTTACTAGATGAAGAACTCATATTAAGAAATATTAAAAGTAAAAAATCTGATGATAATGTACTACGTCCTGGAAATTGACTTTTTAATTCAATGTCTATGAAAAAACAATAATCTTTCTTTGTGGCCGTAAATTGTTTTTGGTATTTCATATTTTCAATCTTAATGTGAAGTTGATTGTTTTCGAATACCATTTACATCACACGTAATCAAACAATCTTTCATTTAGTTTCTTATGGGACACATTCAAATTAGATGATGAAGCAGCAGCCATTTTGAAAAGCGATTAAATATAGGAATCGTAATCAACATTTATCAAGAATTTGACGTTAAAATCAATTCTTAACATTCGCTTGATTTACTTTATATGGGTTGCTGTACGTTCATTTATATTTCCAACAGTCCATTAAAGTTTTGATAGGATAAATGCAGAAGGGATTTATCACTATTTAAATCAGCCTCATAAACCTAAAGGCGCTAACATCATTGATTTTATGTATCCAATCAAATATGGTTTGCATCTTACAGCTAGAACAACAAATCTTTGAAATCAAAAGAGACAATGTGGGATTTTCCTGCAGAAACTAATGACATAATTCAAGTCAAGCTGTCTGAACATTATTTCTTATCATAACCGATCTAATGATCGCTGCAAATAGCATTTGTAAAATAGTAATGTAAATAACAGTAAGCAAAACCACATTCAATCGTTAGGACAGCAATTCAGCTGCAGTGCATGTCATTAACAAACAGACAACCAGAAGTTCTCTTATGAAATAAATCGAAAATATACTTTATTCAATAAATCACAGGGTTAATGTGTTCTTGTTGATAGGATTGAATTCAGCTTACGAAGAAGCCGTTTATCCAACTTCCATCTCTCCAGGATTTGATGCAATAGATTATAGTAATCATGTAGCAACCTTCACATAGTTAACATAACAATGTGATATTTTGAAACTGGTAACGATTAATAAGATATCAGATTGTTTGAAGTGGGTCACATACAAAAGAAAGACTTGTAACTATGAACTGTATCTCCAACAAAGCTTTTCAAAGTTAAAAATTGTGTCCCATGATTCATTTACCCACTCTTGGATGTATTCTCCTCTTTAAATCAGACCAATTGGTCACAACTTGTCACATTGGTTGAAATGAAATTAATTCCTATATTCTTCCCTTGGTTGGGATATTGACGATGGCCAACGCGACGTAGTCTGCTATGTTAGGCGTTCCGACTGGAAGGGGCGTTAGCCACCTCGTTTTTTAATTACCGATTGTGGTATTAAAAGGCCTCGATTTATTTTTCAATTTATCCAGTACAGTTTTTCCAATTGATGAACGTGTTTTCTATATCACTATATCTAAAATTTCTGGACATTGTTCATTTAAAAAAACACCACTTAAAGCTTTACATTAATATACCACACAAGATAGATGGTGAAAAAGAAAATCAGTGTTTTGTTTTTATCAGCT